GATAAGTGTATATTTTTATAAGATACATCTTAAGCTGACTACATTACAGGAGATGGTTGGGGAGGGAGTTTGTGTTAGCTTGTTGCCTTGACAAGAGACAGTTATTTATTGTTGACCAGCCTTGAGCCATAAGGGAGAATATATTTTTTAGAGCAGATAACAGGAAGCAGAAGGGGTTTTTGTAATTTTTTACAGTTAAGGCACAAAACTCTGTTAACCCTTTACATTCTCTACTGGTTTTTATCTGGGAATCAAATCTTTGGTTCATCTAAACTTTATAACTTGAGTTGCCCAGTAATGTGAGAGGCTTATTGTTGGATCTCAACACCATTAACTTAATCATCTGGATTCTTTGTTGTATATACGTAGTCAAACAGTTTATTAGGGCTGGTGAGATGGCTCAGTGGTCTAAAGCACCTACTTAGAACAAGCTAAGCTAAACAAAGCACAGGGACCACGGTTCAATCCCCCAGCACCACACGCCAGCCAGCCCCGCCCCCCAGTGGACTGAGCTGGCCACACACTAAATAAATAAATAAATAAATATTAAAAAAAAAACAAAAACAGTTTATTATACAAGGTCCAATGAGCAGGACCAGAAGAAATATGATCACGGGCCGAATCAGAGCAGTTATCAGATTATTTATCCAAGGGGATATTAAAAATAACCACCCATTATTACCTTGACGGATATCTCAAGTTAACTCTTTTAGTATGTTTACTTGATTTTGTATCTGATGGCTGTTATCTGATAAAAAAACAGCACATTTTTTTTATCTTTTTATATCCTTGATGGTGAAACAATAGTAAATAATCTATGGTAGCCCAATTGTCTAATATAGCTTGTCTATGTTCTTTTTTTTCTGCATTGAATACGGCGATAGCCATTGAAGTGGCATTAAGAGCTTTGGCCATATTATAACCCAATTGTTTTACATGTTTTTTGCTATTTTACCAAAGTATAGGTTTTTAACAGCACTGAGTATCATAGCATAGGCTTCTGCATTAGACAGGAAAGTGACTCTATCATTATAGTCAGGAGGAAGAGGAATGTTAGAAACTTTTTTCCTCTTGTGGGGTGATGATGTTTTTGAATGGTGTAGCATCAAATCATCTTGAGATGGAAGAATTACAGTCAGCCTGCTTAGACAACAGGAAACTCCATCCAGATAAGCTGGGATATAGTTAAAAGTATGTCCATTGTATGTGAAAAACCATCTAGTGGGTAATAAGATATTATCATTTATATATGGATACTTTATAAGACTAGAACAATTTAGAGACCCTGACAATCGGTGACAACTTCTTTTAGTATAGTTTACAAATTGCACACAAGTTTTATGTAAAGGAACCATAGTCTTTGGGGTAACAAAATGTAGGACACCAGGTGGTACATCACGTGAGACAGGTCCCCAATTAGCCAAGTCTTAATATGGGGCAGGTTTAGAAATGTGTTTTTAAAAGGTTAAATTTTTAATATCTTTTATAGGCTTGTACACTGGTCTTAGGCATGAGCTCAGAACATATTGAAGTTTTAAGG